TCCATCTTCCGAGTTTACCTGAGTTCTGTATTTTATGTATTTCCCCGCTACGATCTGCTGATGAACTAAATGAATGTATATGCTAAATATTGTTTGAAAGCATTGTAAATAACTTGGTAAAGCATACTTTCCATATCTGAAAATTAATTGAAACTAGACCATGCAAATTAAATGTTTTCTGAAGTTAATTTTTTATGACATGTTCTACAAAGGAATTTTAATGTAGAAGTTTCTGTAGAATCAACATTTTGATGATTTACTATTTCAGCAGAATTCTTAATTCTCATCTCTGCAAATAATCTTTGATTATGTATTACATATTAATTTTAAATACCAATAATTAAATTATATCTTATTGTACATTATTATTAGCACCTTACAAATTGAAACATGTGGCAGGAATAATACTTAGCATCTGATTAATCTGATTGTCTAATTTCTCTCTCTATATGTGTATCTGTATTTTAAACCAAGATTTATTCTTTTTTTCTCTCTTTTTATCTTTCTTTCTTTCTACTGTGCGATCCTAGTTCCCTGACCAGGGATTGCTGGAGGCCCCAGCAGTGAAAGCACTGAGTCCTCACCACTGGACCAAAAGTGCTGAGTCCTAACCACTGGACAGCTAGGCAACTCCCTAGTCAACATATTTTTAAATTACTATGTTCTGATAATAAACTGCAAGTGTCTACTACTAATGTGATAATTAAATATTAAAGTTATATAAATGATGTAATATTAACTTTGAAATTAAATACTGCAGGCAAGCAGGTGTTCTATTACTCTCCTCTGTTACTCTGTTTAATGAGCTCCTTTTTTCAAATTAATTGACTTAGCACATTCATTTTATACTGATATAAAACTCTGACATAGTATGAGCTATTATTCTCTAGTTGTGGTTATTTGAAACCAATACCTGCTGCACTGATTCTAGCTTTTTTCCCAGTTGATTTTCATAGTTCTGAAGTTGTGTTTCAGTTCTGAACATCTCTGCCCACTCAGCAATTCTCCTTTATGTCCTTGTTGATGCTTTCTGAATGTTCATCATGCAACAGTACCAGGAGTTATCAAGGGTAACAGTTCTCATTCCTAGTTGGGTAACCTCTGGGTAAATGACTTGATAGCTATGTGCCTCAATTTGCTTATCTGCACAGTAGAGATAATAGTAAGACCTGCCTCAAAGAGATAATGTGGGATTGGTATAATTTCTAAAGAAAGGGTCAAACAAAATTTGATAACTCTTTCTCACCTGTTTAAACCTGGTACCATCTCAGGAATAAGATCTTCCTTGGTAGATCTTGACTTCCATTTATTTACTTATTAAATTAAAAAACAATTCAAATGAGGCTATGTTTTTTTAATGTAAAGTTCAAAGAAGGCCCAGCAGGAATGAGCCAAGAAAGCAATCAATAGGAAGAGTTCTTTTAATAGACCTCAAAGTCAGCATGTGAACATCCTGCATTAATCTTTGTATTGACAAGAAAGAGCTAAGATGGTCAAGCTTGACTCCCAGTGATTATTAGATGTGATGTAAATATTAAATCATGAACATATAGTGACTTTTCTTGTATCTGTTGCCTTAATACACTTTTAAAATAATTTAGTTTATGATATTTTTTTTGTTGAAATAAAATCGACCAGCTGATAATAATTACCTCCAACTTTAGATAAAGTTACAAACTGGTGTGAATCTGCTGCTGGCATTTTTCCTACATAGGATGGGAGTGGACAGATGGTTAGAATTAGAGTTCATATTTATAATGATTAGGTAGAAATACTTTTTACTTAAAAAGATAGTGATGGGCTTCCCTGGTAGCTCAGATGGCCTGCAGTGCAGGAGACCTGGGTTTGATCCCCTGGGTTGGGAAGATCCCCTGGAGGAGGGCATAGCAACTTACTCTAGTATTCTTGCCTGGAGAATCCCATGGACAGAGGAACCTGACAGGCTACAGTCCATGGGGGCTCAAAGAGTCTGAAACGACTGAGCATTCCCTTGTCCTTTGTGCCGTTGTTATGCTACTTTCTTCTACATCTAATAAAAATCTCATGATGTTACTGTCATTTTTGCTGTAACAAGCAAGTATTTAATGAATCAATCTTAAAATGAGAAAAAAAATGCCTTATATTTTGCCACGTTTGCCAGCACTGGTGCTCTTCATCCTTTGTATAGACCCATAAATTTCTGTGGTTATCATTTTATTTCTGCCTGATGAACCCCATTAGCATTCCTTATAGTGAATGGCTGCTGGTAATGGATTCTCTCAACTTTTCTTTGTTTAAAATAGTCTTTGAAATATTAAAATAGTTCAATATTTAAAATAAATATTATTTTAAATAATATTTAAAATAGTATTTTAAAATTTCTTTGTTTAAAATACCCTCATATTTGAAAAATATTTTACTGGGTATAGAAATGCAAGTTGAAAGTTTCTTTCAGCACTTTCAAAGGGTCACTCCATTGTTTGCTTGCTTGATTAGTTTCTGAGGTGACGTCTCTGAGACACTGTCTGCTGTAATATTATCTTCTTTCTCTGTAAGTAATGTTTTTTTTTTTCCCCCATCACTGGCTACTTTTAAGATTTCTTTATTACTAGCTTTCAGCATTTTAATGATGTTTGGCCTTGGTTTAATTTTATTTTTCTTGGATTATGTTGATCTTCTTGGATCTTTGGGTTTATGGTCTTTGTCCAACTTGGAATTTTTTTTGGCCATGTTTCCTTTAAGGTTTTTTTTTGGTACCCCTGCTTCCTTTTAACTATATATGTTCTAGACTGCTTGATACTACCCTATAGGCTCTACTTGGGTTTTTTTGTTTAGTCCTTTTTTTTTTTTTTTAATATGCGTGCTTTTTGGATCATGGTGAAAGGTTGTTGCTGAATGATAAGACGCGGGATTCTTGGCCTCCGGAGGAGATGAATTCAATCCGGGGCCAGAGACGAGGCTGGATCGCTCAGAGCTTTTGTGTAATAAAGTTTATTAAAGTATAAAGGAGATAGAGAAAGCTTCTGACATAGGCATCAGAAGGGGGCAAAAGAGTACCCCCCCTCCTAGTCTTTAGCTGTATGTTATATAGTCACTCTCAGTCTGTTAATGAAAAGAAAGGAATGTCATAAAATTTAGAATGGCACCAGATAATTCATCCCTGGCCATAAAATGATTGACTTGAATCTTGTAGAAGGGCAGATTACCAACAAATAGTTTCCTTTACATAGATTAGGGAACAATATCTGAGTAAGTAAGTTAGGCCGTTTGGCGGAACCAACTTGAAGATAGAGTCTGGGGTACATTAACATAGATTAAGACAACATTTCCATAAGAAAAAGAAATGTATTGGTTAACTCAAGGTTTGAGAGTAGTTAGCTTCAGGTGAAACCAGGTGTCATGGCAGCACAGCATTTTAAGAGAAACCTCCTTTTAAATTTGTATAGAGAAGGAAAAACATATCGCTGGTTTGTTCCCTCCTGCCGCTTAAAAGAGATAAAAATGTCTGGCATTTGCAGCCTATTTCCTCCGTTTGGAGACCCCTGGCCTTCCTGCCTGTTACCCTCTCAATGTCTTCGTCCATTTAGACTGCTATAACAAAATCCTGTAGATTGGGTGGCTTATATACAGCAAAAATTTATTTCTCATTATTTTATAGTCTAAGAAATCCAAGATCAAGGCACTGGCAGATTCAGTATCTTGTGAGGGCCTGCTTCCTGGTTTAGAGATGACAACTTCTTGCTGTAACTTTATGTGGTGGAAAGATTTATACTGTTGTTTTCCTTTAGGGGCCTTCTAACTTTAAGAACAGTGATAAGCAATAAAACTAGTGAAGAGGGGATAAAGAAAGATTATGGTGCATTTTGTCAAAGTAGCTGAGGTTATGTGGAGTTAGATGGGCCAGAGCTTAGGTCTTTGATGCAAAATGATGAAAGTTCAGAAGGAGGAAAGAGTCAAAGAAATGAGTTTTTTGTTACTTTAAAAAGAAGTGAACATTTGAAAGAAAATAAAAGCATTAAGGCCTCAGACAGAAGTAGAACTATGACTGAGAAGCAGAAGAATTCCTGGTCAGAAGAAGAAAGGAGGTGAAGCCTCACATTCATTAGTGTCTCTGCTTTCCACGTTGAATAAAGCAGAGATGAAGTGGGTACAAATATGCCAAAACTTTATATTATATATCCCAAAGCCCATTTAAAAATGTTGTTGATCTAAATATGTACTCTAAATTGGAGTACAGAATGTGAACTAGATGTTAAGGGAAAGCTTTCTCTTGGGCTTTCCTGAAAGATTATGTAAAACCCAGACGTTAGCACACTAGCTACAATCCATAGCGTCACAAAGTTAATTTTATACAAATAAGAGGTTCAGATACAGTTAGGCATAATTTGAATTCTTAAATAGTTTTTTTCAGAAACTTATAATGATGCTTTTACCTCTATCATACCCTTTAAAAATACATGACAAAGAGTAAATTTCAGATTAGATGTATAGAATACAGATTCTAAATTAAAGTTGATACTTTACACTGGTTGTCAGTAATATCCTTAAAGGTAGTATTTCTACTCACCCACATACATTATAGAGGCAATTTGGTTTTTTGTTGTCGTTTAGTCACTAAGTCGTGTCCGACTCTTTGGCGACCCCATAGACTGTAGCCTGCTAGGCTTCTCTATCCATGGGAGTTTCCAGGCAGGAATACTAGAGTGAGTTGCCATTTCCTTTTCTAGGGGATCAATACGACCCAGGGATCAAACCCGTAGTTTCTGCCACATCTCCTGCACTATAAGTGGATTCTTTACTGCTGAGCCACTGGGGAAACCCAGATAGTAATTTCCATATAGAGGCAATTACTCATAATTTATTTTAGTTTGTGATTTATCAAGTGTTATTAATTTTTTTGTGATGATGCAGACTTGATTTTTGTTGTTAGGGGAAAAAAACTAGTATTTTCGTCCTCGGCAAAGACAGAAATAATGTTCATTTCCTTTTTTTTTTTTAATTTTAGAAACAAAACCTGAGAAATGCCTCATTCCATAAATAGAGAAATGATACTTGGCATTGTGGTGGGAACTGCTGGAATCAGCTTGCTGCTTTTGTGGTATCACAAGGTTCGTAAACCAAGGACAGCAGTGGATTTACCTAAATTTCTTTCTCTGGGTAATTCACTTGATTTGATGACTTTGCAAGATGAAATGCCTAGTGGCCAAGGAACAACAGCGATCTTTCAAGGAAGGCAGCTTCAAATACTGGAGAAGTTAAATGAATTACTGACAAATATGGAAGAACTCAAAGAGGAAATCAGAGTTCTTAAAGAAGCCATTCCAAAGCTGGAGGAGTATATACAAGGTGAACTTGGAGGGAAGGTAACTGTTCACAAGATAAGTCCTCAGCACAGAGCTAGAAAAAGAAGGCTTGCCACAGTTCAGAGTTCAGCAACAAGTAATAGTTCAGAGGAAGCAGAAAGTGAGGGAGGGTAAGTTTCTTTAAAATGTTTTCTATGTTAAATGGATTCTTTATTGCAGTATTGCTATTATTTAGGTATTTTCATTATACATTCCTAGTCACATATGCTGTTACTATTTAATAACAAGCCATAAAAAGGAGTGATTATTTTGGCTTATGTTATAATTAAAACCATATTCAATGGAGGTCAGTATTTTAGTTTAGAGCTCATTGACAAAGAGAATATAAGTAACTTACTAGTGCTGGTGGTGTCACATGAGTATGAGGAAGACAGTGATCATTTGCCAAAACATGTAACCTGTTTTTAAATGTGACCAGTCTCTGACCCCTTATGTAATTAAGAACTGTCCAATAAGTGGTCTAATAAAACTTTCTGCGATCATAGAAATGATCTAAATCTGTCTGCCCAGTATGGTAGCCACAAGCCATGTGTAACTCTTAAGCACTTGAAATGTACCTTGTGCAGCTGAGGAACTGAAAAGTTTTAATCTCATTTTATTGTAATTAATTTAAAATTAAACAGCCACATGACACCAGTGGCTACTGAATTGGGCAGTACAGACCTAAAAAGAGTTGAGAATGTACAAGTGACTCAGTTCCATCCTTGCATGGGACAATTCATTGGATTCTAAAGTCAAGGCATGAATAATATCCTTTGGGGGGAAGACAAATGATTTATGAAAAAAAGGAATTGTGCCTGACTAGTGTTTCTAAGACTCTTGAGAGTCCCTTGAACTGCAAGGAGATCCAAACAGTCCATCCTAAAGGAGATCAGTCCTGGGTGTTCATTGGAAGGACTGATGCTGAAGCTGAAACTCCAGTACTTTGGCCACCTCATGCGAAGAGTTGACTCATTGGAAAAGACCCTGATGCTGGGAGGGATTGGGGGCAGGAGGAGAAGGGGGTGACAGAGGATGAGATGGCTGAATGGCATCACCGACTCAATGGACATGAGTTTGGGTGGACTCGGGGAGTTCGTGATGGACAGGGAGGCCTCTGCGATTCATGGGGTCACAAAGAGTCAGACACCACTGAGCGACTGAACTGACTGACTGACTGAGTGTTTCTAAGGAGTAAAATAGGAAAGTAAGTAAAGATGCACTAGTGAATGTAACATAGCCTGAAATTCATTAGGGCAAGGGTCCTATGTTTTCATCATCGTATTCCTAACACCTGTTTTTGTGCCTACCACCATGTGTATGTGCTAAGTCACTTCAGTCATATCTGACTCTGTGACCCTATGGACTACAGCCCATCGGGCTCCTCTGTCCTTTGGATTCTCCAGGCAAGAATACTGGAATGGATTGCCATTCTCTTCTCCAGGGAATCTTCCCAACCCAGGAATCGAACCCTCCATCTTCTGTGGCTCTTGTATTACAAGCAGATACTTTATTGCTGAGCCGCTGGGAAAGCTGAGTAGATGACAATAACTATTACTTAAATTTGACTATCTGCTGAATATAGGATTGGGAGAAGGAGGAGGGATCTAGAGAAAGGAAACAAGGAGAAGGGATTTAAAGGTGATTTCATACATGAAGAAATGTAAATGATTGATCAAGTCTTTTGAGATCAATGCTTGTTGTTGTTCAGTCCCTGAGTCGCATCCGTCTCTTTGTGACCCCCTGGCCTGCAATATGCCAGGCTGTCAATCTTTTACTTGTATTGCTCTATCAAACCATGGGTTTAAAATAATTATTTAGCTTTCTGCTGTCGTCCTGAGTGGTAGCTGCCGAAATGAGCAAGTTCATGAAACCCGGGAACGCAATGCTGGCCCTGGCCAGTCACTATGAAGGACACAAAGTGTTCATCGTGAAGAACATCGATGACGGCAGCTCAGACACACCGCACAGCCATGCTCCGGTGGCTGGATCTAATCTCTCTCCCTGCAAAGTGACAGCTGCCACAGCCAAGAAGAAAATCGCCAACAAGTCAAAGATCAAGTCTTTCCTGAAAGTTTATCATTATAATCACCTCAGGCCCACAACGTACTCTGTGGGTATCCCCTTGGACGAAACGGTTGGCAACAAGGATATCTTCAGAGACCCTGCTATCAAATGCAAAGCCTGATGAGAGGCGAAGGTCAAGTTCAAGGCTAGATACAAGACCAGCAAGAACAAATAGTTTTCCCAGAAGCTTCAGTTTTGTCTGTCTTGTTCAGTCATTAAATCCCACCCCACCCCAGGCCAAAAAGGTATTATTTGTATCACAGTGTTATATAAAGCTTTAGAAACCTCCCTTTCAAAAATTAGATTTTATTTCAGTTTAGGTTAAAGTAATACCCCATAATAAAATTCATTGTTTGTCCATTTCATTTGGGCTTTAAGAGACTACATGGGCCATATAGCCTTGCTCACTTAATAGAATTATCTAGTTTTTAAACTCATGTATTCTAGAAGAACCATTTGTTCTTGCTGGTCTTACACTGCCCTAAAAATCCTCTGTGCTCTGCCAGTTTATCCCTCTCTCCCCTTTAACCCCTGGCCACCTCTGATCTTTATACTTTCTCTACTGTTTTGCCTTTTCTAGAATGTCATATTGTTGCAATCATACAGTATGTAGTCAATTTGACTTCTTTTACTTAGTAATATGTATTTAAGTTTCCTCTATACTTTTTCATAGTGCATTAATAGCACATATCTTTTTAGCACTGAATAATGTTCCATTGTCTGGATATACCACAATTTATCCATTTGCCTACTGAAGGACATCTTGGTTGCATCCAAGTTTTAGTAATTATGAAAACTGCTGCAATAGCCATTCATGTACAGGTTTTTGAGTGGACATAAATTTTCATCTCATTTGGGGAAATACCAAGGAGCATGATTGCTAGATTGTATGGTAAGTATATGTTTAGCTATGTAGAAAGCCTCCAGTTGGCTTCCAAAGTGGCTCTACCATTTTGGATTCCCATAAGCAATGAATTCCTGCTGCTCTACATCCTCACAAGCATTTGGTGTTGTCAGGGTTCTGGATTTTGACCATTCTAATAGGTATGTAGTAACCTTACATTGTTGTTTTAGTTTATATTTCTCTAATGACATATCATGTGGAACATCATTTCATATGCTTATTTACCATTTGTGCATCTTTGGTGAGGTATCTGTTAAGGTCTTTGGCCCATTTTTAAATGAGATTGTTCATTTTTATATTGCTGAGTTTTAAGAGGTCATTGTATATTTTGGATAACAGTCCCTTTTCAAGGGAAATAGTCTTTGCAAGTATTTTGCAAATACTTTCTCTTAGTCTGTAGTTTCTCATTCTCTTGACATTATCTTTCTCAGAGCAGAAGCTTATCAGTTATTTCTTTCATGGATCATGCCTTTGGTATTGTATTTAAAAAGTCATTGCCAAATTTATCTAGGTTTCCTCCCGTGTTATCTTCCAGGAGCTTCATAGTTTCACATTTTATATTTAAGTTTGTGGCCCATTTTGAGTTCAAAATGTGATGGGTGTAAGGTCGGTGTGGCCTCTGTCTCCAGGCCGTTCTCTGGTTTGTGAGGAGAAACTGAAGAATGAGGCAGTGTCTCCCCCTTGGACTAACAGCAGATTGAACAGATTTGGTTACTGCTTGCTCTGAAAGTGGGGGATTCCCTGAGTGTGGTGGTGCCTTCTTTGAAATGCAGCTGACTTGATATTAAGAGTCTCTGGGCTCTCCGCATTGCCCTTGTGGGTCCTGAGGTCAAGGAGAACCAACATAAATAAGCGGGTGATCACGTTGCGTAATTTGCTGTGAGTAACAAAGTCCTCTGTCTCTTATGCAAGAATCGTGTGTCTCCTGCCAGCAACCATGAAACAGGAACAGATTAATTCATTTGAATGTTGGGTAAAATTGGGTTATAAACTGACAGTGGTATGGTGAGAACTAGAGAGCTTTGAAAGGGATTTATTCAAGGGTTTCCCAAAGAAGGTTGTTAGAAAGGGAACAAAAGCAAAATGTAGTATTACAGTATACAGAATATGGAGAAGCTTGTTGAGGGAGTGTTTTATGTCATAGGTGGAAAAGGAAGAGGATGGTATTCTAATAGTTTTGTTAATCTTGCCTTTAAATGGGTTACAATATAACAGCAGATCTCCATAATCTGTCCATGTGGTCCATGTAATCAGATGCCATGCTTTATTGCCAAGATAAATTTAGCTTTCAAGTTAGAATACACATTCCACAGTCACATGAATTGCAGTTTTTCAGAAAGATGAGCCATAGAACAATTTTATTTTAAACTGATGTCATTAGATTCTAGAATCTGCTATCATCATATTCTGTGTTATTGCCATGTTAATTCTATATGCAGCTTAAGCATTCAGCATCTAACCTCTTCCACCTACACAGGACATTTTTATGGCTAAGAATGATGGCTTAGAAAGGAAGGGAAAGATTTGCTTTGTATTAAATTCAATATGGGAAAATGCTTAAGGTAAGCCTTTAAGAAGAAAACAAAACACGTCTTCATATGTTTCATGTGCTAAAGAACATTGAAATATTCATAAACCAAGCTTTAATGCTTCCTTTAGTTTCCCACAGTGACTGAATATCTGGATATTTATCTGAAATATTCTCTCCAGACAGGTTCTGCTTTATCTATGATTAATATTTTAAAATAGCATTAACCAGTGGGGTATAAATTTATTGTGCTTATCAACTCCTTCAAATCTGTTAGTTCAGTAGTCTCAAACAGATACTATGACTTAATTATTTTCAAAACAGGAAGTTCTCTGTTTGCCTACAGGGAACCCTTTTGCTGTGGTGTCCTCTATTATGTTTTTCCCTGACCTTTCTTTCTGCCTACCACCCTGAGGCTTTCCATTTATCTTCCCAAGGTTTAGTAGAGTGGGCAGGTACCATGTAGGTAGTTAGAAATAATCTTTTAGACTTAGGCATTCTTTGGGGGTACATCTGGGTAACCATCAACTTCACCTGTCTTAATTTCTTATTCCGTTTCCATATTGATAAGGTAGCTATTATTCTTCAGGACGCTTGGCAGGTTTCCACCTGTGTTCCCTGTTCTTTTTTCC